GTCTTTCGTTCAGTCAGATATAGTTTACAAAACGCACCATGTGACCACAACGAGTGCTGGGTAATAAATAATGAAAGCTATTGAGATTTTCACTGAAGCTATGATGACATTGAACGCTTTGGAGATGAGTTGATTCAAGTGAAAGGAATTCAGTTTTGTGAGATGAAATAAAGGTTGGGGGTCAACAGTCCAGGCAGGTGTGGAGTCACTGATTGAATTCAAAGAGCAACGTGGAGTGTGCAAATTCAATTCAACAAAAATCAGATGCAGAACCTATTTGCAGCCACAAGGTGGGAATGAAGCATCAAGAATTTCACAGTGAGCACTGGATCAGAAAAGACAAATAAAATTAGCTGGTTTCATTAGATCTGTGAACCAAAGAGTCTGTGATGTGCTGCCTACAACTTGAAGAGCATATTCTGTTTGTTTATTCTGACAAACATGTCAACCACACAGAATGTCAAGTATCTGGTAGCAGCAACTGATACTAAACACAAATGTACTGATGGGAAGCCATCTGTATATTTAGTTATGCAAAACTGGAAGGACTCGAGCAGCTTCAGGTTTGTTCTCACATCTTACCAGTTCAGCTCAATAAAATGAAGAAATGCATACATTATAAAAAATATATTTCAGTGCTTCAAGTGCTTTCCTCCTTTAATACCAACCTTGTTAGGGAAGCTCTGTGGCACTGCTGGGGTCTGGTCAAACTATCTGCAGGAGTAGCTTGATCTAATGCTCAGTACCTGTAAAACCTTGGACTGAAGACCAGATGGCATGTAAATATCGTAATAAACAAACATCAGATAAGTCATTGTTCATTTAATAGCCTCTGATAATAAAGCAACCAAAAACAATATACAATATACATGCTTTATTAAAAGACACATCTACAGTTTTTTATTGCACGAGGATGTTTGCAACCATCCAAGATCAAACTATTTGATGATGCAGATCTATGACAGACGTCCCAGCATTTCTTTTAAACTGATGACAGCATAATGTTATTCGATAAAAAAAGACTAAGGAATATGTAAGTAATGTGGCAGCAGTGCAAAAGACGTGCAGGAACAGTGGAGTAGAAATGAAAGGAATTCTTTGTTGTGCCACGGGAAAACAACTCTTTCACCTAAAACATGTTTTTGCACTTAGAACCCATTCACCATAGTCTCCGATAGCCATTATTATCTACCTGGAGCTGAACTGGAAATAAAGGAGCCCTGTGAGTATCAAAAGCAGACAAAAGAAAATACAAAATATTAATTTAAATTCTAACCAACAAGCGTACTCCTAAATATGCACACATATACAGAATCAGATCTAAATGCCTGGTTTTTCATTTCATGTAAACAAATTATTCTCCTCAGTAGCTAGGCGTCTTGCTAGCTTGGCAATCTATCCTTCATGGACTTGACTTACTGGCTGTGGCATGTATGAGTGACTATGTCTGTTTCCAAGGTAGTACCTGTACCAATAAAGTGCTAATACACCACAGACAGTGTACTCAGGTTCCAGTATACATGGCCTCTACTCTGTATCTAACATACACTGGTGTGATAGACAAACAAAAAAACAACAAAAACACAAAGATGCAGGCAGTTTTCCAGGTGATGCGCCATTATTCCGTGTTTCGTTCCGATCCTTTTTGGAACACAACTGTTAAAATTTATATTACTTTGGTATGACAATTACAGTGTGGTGATTTACCGAATGTCCGTTGTCAGGAAGTAGTTACAGTTTTACACCGAAAATAAATATACCTGGTAAAACAGCAGTCACTTATGTTTTGACACTGAGATAATCTCAATTCTTCATCTAAAAACATGTTGAGAATAAAAATCACAGCCTGGTCCCAAAAAAATTAGCATACTTCATTCCAGCACTTTAACAAGTTTGAACTCAAATCCTCAGTAAGATATAAATGACAGTAAAGAGAGGGCTATAAATACAATAAATAGTTTTGTTCAGTACTCAAAGGGACTGAGCAGGGAAACAGACCATTGGGTCAAACTGTCTTTAAAGCAGAGCCTCATTTAAAGCCTGATGGTATTTTGGTCTGGTGGTGTAAACCAAGAGGTACATTCATTTACTACAAGGCAGTAGTGGAAGAAGTGTGAGTTTCTCTCCTCTGTGCTTCTTTCTCTGACTGAAAGCTCCAGCCTGTCCTCTGAGAGGCCCGGTGGGGGCAGGGCAGGCTTTCCTCTTCACGCTGTAAACCAGCAGCTGCTAGATCTTGGTGACGTAGTTGTTGGGGAAAAGTCCCTGCTTCCCACGAAGTCGTCCTGTCCACCATCCGGATCCATCTGATCAGAAAATGTGATTAAGTTAGCATCTCATTTCTTACTGACAATATCATGACGAGGATGAAAAATAAGCCTATAAATGCAGGTTTGTCATGTGCTTACCCTCTTTGATGATGTCGATAATGTCATTGGCATTGAAGCTGAGCTCGTCTGTGTCCTGAGCATCATAGGCGTACAAAGCTTTGCACTGGGGCACCTGGGGTTTTGGTTTGGGTGCGGGTTTGGGTCGTCCTCCTCCAGGCTGAGGCTTGCTAGCTGATGGTCTGTGGGCCCTGAGGTGCCATAAGACAAAGAGAGAAACCACCCAACTGTCAGGGTGATGTGCCTACAGAGGAACACTTGGTGAAAGTAAGTTCAGCGTGCTGCAGTAGCTGGGAAGACAGCCTACATTAACACGAAGTACATATGAAAATGCAAGTGTATGCATAATCACCATCTTGTTATACTGAATGAAAACCTAAATGTTTTTATTTTGTCAATTTTTGGAAGTAGTTTGGAAGATTCTTCCTGCACCATTTTAACAGAATGCAGCTGTTCACTAATCAACCACAAGATGGTGAACTAACACCTGCTCCAGTCTGTCTGCACAAAGAAGTTGCAACTGTTGAATGAAGCCTTTTAGAACAGAGCATTGATCCAGAGTCAGTGGTGCCTTAAAGATCTCTGCTTATTATTCTGTAAACTATCGGTTGTCATTCAAAAATACTGCTTATACAGTATATTATCTGTTCAAGTTATTTTTAACCACAGTACCAAAATATAAGACAAAAGATCGTGAGCAAAATATTTAACTTACTCAACTAACTGAGGATCAAATAATTCAGAATAGTGTAAATGGCATCAAAGTGAGCGATAAGCAGATAGTGAAATAGTCAGCTTAGACATATGTATTTACTGAATACAAATATACACACCATCTAGTGATGTTTGTGTACATGAAAGCAACTTTCACCTCCTAAGTAAAGAGTATCCCTGACTGAAAATGCAGAGGTGCACAGCAGGGTTTCAATCACTACAAAAACGCTTTCAAGACTCTTTCATTACTGAAATGAAAGATTGAAGCAAGTGAGGAGGAGAAAATGAAATATGAAATGCCAACTACTGTTGGCTCCTTAGATAAGTTTGATCTTATCTGCAGTTAAAAAATGTACAAGGGAAGAAGCATTAACATGTCTTGCTGCTGTGAACCACCACCCAAAACACTGCAAATGCTCCAACTCACATTCTTCCATTTGAAGCTGGCCCTCTGTCTCCACTGCTATAAAAGAATAAATTAGGTCAAATTACAGAAACATAAGTGATTAGTGTCTTTGCTGCCTATTTGCACACAACGGTTTAAAACTGTGCATGTGAAGTGAGAGCGTGTGCCACACTGTCTTTATCAGTGTGTGCTGTTCATCACTAACAACTGTGTATTAAGCCATGTGAGAATCAAGGTTATATGAATTATAAATTATCTTTCAGACTCTTGTGCAAGTTAATACATGTATTTACACATCGTAGACACAATAATGTAAATGCTTCACAAACTGAATCACATTGCTACAAAGTATGCATCAGCTGTTAAGTGAGTCATAACCGACAACTTAACTGTAATGCAAATACCAAAGTGGTCGTGGTCTTATGGGAAAATGATGCAAATACATCATCAGACGTATGTTTTAAACACCAAGATCCAACAAGTTGCTCCTAGTACCTACAAAATATTTGTTGCTACTAATGCCTTTATTGCTTGTCACATCACGAATCAGTATTTTGTCATTGACAATACAGTTGGAGACGTCTCCAAAATCACAACATTCTGTGTGCAAGGCAGAGGTAATCAGCTGACCAACGTACAGTAAACAAACACTGACTTTTCTATTCCAACCATCAGACTCGCTCTTGTAGCAGTGATGTAAGAACGTTTTTATTGTAATGAGTTGTGTGTGTTATTTTGCCTAGTCCTGCGTGTGCCATGTGGATTGATGGACTTTGTTTGTGTGTCTCACCCTGCCGCTCCTTGATCAGGGACTCTCAGACAGTCCAGGTTGGGCTGCGGTCGACTGCTGCCTCGGTCCTTCAGCTGGCTGATGGTACTGGGCAGGAAGGGGTGCATTGCGTTGTTTCTCTCACTGGCTACGTGGCTAGTGTGTTTCGGGCCACCATTCTGGTGAGGACCTGCAGAGAAAAAGAGGTATGGATTGACTATGTTGCCATTCAGAGGGTCTACATGGAGAGAAGACAAGTTGCTCAAATGCTGTGAGACATGAACGCTGTACCTGGAGGGCCCGGTGCAGTCCGGGATGGGATGTTCTGGTGGGTTCTGGACATGTTAGAGCGACTCTGAGTGAAGCTCTTCCTGGTGGGGCCTGAAGATGAGATTTTCAACAGATAAACATTATGTACAAACAGCAAAGCCATTCAGACTGACATGACAGCTAATATAAAACAATAAGGAGTTAAAGGTGAAGTTTTTCTTCAACCTTTTTGTGTTGGTCCAGTCTCTTGTCATCACTGTCATGAACACACCTCAGGTGTAGGTGATGTACAGGTCATTTCTGTACTTGTCTGTTAATACTCACGTGTATTCTTGGGAAGCCCAGGGCCGATGCTGACCTGCAGGGATTTGCTCGAAGGCTTCAGTACAGGCATGTCTCCCTGACCCTGGACAAACACGACCTGCCGAGAGCCGCCCCCACTCAAGAAGCCCCAGTTCTCTTTCTTCAACTTCATCTCCAGTCTGGGAATGACATATACGACAGTTTTGCACTTCTCGAGCCGTGTTTGTGGGCCATTATTCTGAGCCTGAACCTGCACAACTAGTGTTTTTTAAATGCTGATCCTTTCACAATGAAGGCTCTGTGTCAGGTTTGCTCGGCTGCACCTGCCTCTCTCACCTCCCTCTCTTTGTTCTTTGGTCCCTGATCACGTCACCTTGCACACCTGCCACTCGTTTCCTTAATTGACTGCTTTCACTCAGTCCTTTGCCTTATTTATACCTAACTCACTTTTCACTCCATTGCCGGTTTGTTGTTGCTTTCTGCCTGACAACCTGCGCCAGTCCGTCTCTTTATTGATATCATTGGTTTTTGTTCTCATTCAGTCTGTTTGCCTTGCCCCTTTCTCCTCAGCCATTTTCCATGGACAGTTCCTCCAGACCATTAATCCACACCACCCTTCCAGCCTTCACCAGCCAGGTCGGTACAAAGTCACACAAAGTCACACAAAGTCATCCATCTTCTCACCATCTCCGTCTACTCTGTTCTTCCTCAGCCATCTATCACCCACCGGCCAGACCGGGAGCGACCCTGGCATCTGTAGCTCAGCCTTCCTCATCATATCCATCCTTCATCTGTTGTTACCTGCTAGCTGATCATCACCTGGTCCTTCATTGCCTAGTTGTTTGCCTTATCACATCACTATATACATTTGTACAGCACTATTAAAATCGCTTGCACTGAAGTCAGCCCTCTGAGTCTGTTTCTTTCTTCACTCACCCTCCAACGAGTGAGTGAATCGAACACTCTTTTCAAATCTGATTTGTAGTTTGGCCAAATTTCAGATTCTATGTCCATATATTTAAAAGATTCTTTTCTGCCGCTGAGCTGCTGAACTTATTTGAAATGATTTCAAATATGGACAAGGACACCGTTTTTATTACGACAACCTTAAGATGAAATTGAAGTACAATTTTGACAACTGAGAAAGAGTTTACTATCACTGATTTGTGTAGTTTGTTGGACTGGTTTGGATTATGTTTGTGTGTGTTTACTTACGTGTTGCTAAACTTCAGTGGTAGCTTCCTCTGTGTTTTCTCCTCAAACCTGCGAGCCAGTAAGCTGATGAACTCTGTCTTAAAGATGCACTCCAGCAGGCTGTCATACTCCTGTTCATGTAAGATCATGAAATCATCCTGCATTGTGCTGAAAAACATGAACAAAGTTAACATTACCACTGACAGAATTGTTCCGATTTTGTTCTTCTTTGACAAAAGCTATGACTGAAAGCCAGGTTCATCTTTCACATTTGCATAGAAACTGAGAGCCTCACAAAGCTGCTCACATGTTTAGAGGAAAGACAGCTTGTGCCCGTAACCCACACAAAGATACTTTGTTCCTCCTTGTGGAGTGGAGCACTGCTTTCACTCATTGCACCACCTGGTCTATATTATTATATGTTCTCTTCAGCAGCTCTGTGATTTCTACCTCTAAGACTAGTCAAACAGCGTTCCCATCAACGACACAGACCCCAAGTTATTAAGTTTAATTTATTTTTCCTTGTCTTTGAATTAAACTCATCCACATTCTTTCACGAGAGTGTGTATTATATCCACAACGTTTCTGAGATGTCAAACTTCTCTCGATCAGATGTGCGTGCACAGAGGCACAGACATATACAAAGGATAGTTTTAATATATCCCACATGTTTTCCTTGTGTGACATTTACAGCAAAGTGCATGATTAGACATCCAGACTGTGGCTTTGAAGTAGATCCATGATTTGCTGCAGTGCAGTGTCTACAGATTCTCTGGCGTGGCCCTGCATGTGCATCACTGTCTCAGTACCTACTGGGACCTTCCTGTACAATGGATTGAAGGAAGATAATACACAAGCATAATTCTATTTGGAGCAAAATAACTGAAGTCTATGTCTCCCAGCTTTGTGAAAGTGTAATGCTAAGTTATAATCTGTAGGCTCTATGAACATCATAAGAATGGAAACAGCCTTGACAATATCTGACACAGCTAATATCGTATTTTCTTTGTGAATATTGTCCCAGGTCTGAAGGGCCCATGTGTTGAAAGGCTGTGACTGGTTCATACCTGAGAGACACCGCTAAGATTTTCTCCACATCAATCCGCCTCTTCAGCACCTCGGTCACCTGCCCTTTCTCTGGCCCTTGTTTCACCTTTTCTCTTCCAACCAGGTACACAGATTTTGGGGTCAGGATTAAGTCTCTCTTAATCCCCTAAACAAGGCAGAAAAACCTCATCAGCATTGTAAATGCTTTGTCAGTTTTTGAGGCAGAACTACAAACTGAAGGAAACCAACCTTGAACCGGCGATCATATTTTGTGACTTTGTCTGCAAAGTCGATCTTATCTCTCTTGCCTAGAAACTGCCGAAGTTCAGGCCTGTCATCCATACCCAGGTAGTCGCCTATGAAGTTTCTGTTGAGGCTGTGTCTCCGTCTCTCTTTCCGGTTCAACAGCAGGTCAGAAGCTGTATAAGCCCAGAGAAAGAGAGTGAGAGTTGGAGACAGCGGCAGATAAACAGGCAGACAAATAAAGCTGTAAGATGTCACCTCACTCACCTTCTTCCCTCATCTGGACGTACTTCTTGCGGGCCATATATTTCCTCCAGGCCTTCTGGATGGTCCTGGCGTAGCCGTCAAACTTGCGATCTCTCGTCTCTTCCAGCAGAAAGAGCTGTGAAGACACATAAGGAGAGTCAAAGTAACAAAGTAAGACACAGACAAACGTATACAGACTGAATGGATGGAACATGCCTGTGTGCATGTGAATCCACAAAGCCAAATCTCTGCTGTCACTGACAATGCATGAAATCTTTTTTCTTTTCAGTGTAAAAATTAATGTTTTACTCCCAACTACTGTACAATTGACAGGAACAGCAGTTTGACTGGTTTTTAGGCCGGAATCAAATAGTTCAGTACTTAAATCACTACAGTTCAGCTGGTTACTGCTCTGCTGAGCTGTAGAGTAACTCAGAGGAACAAGATCCCTTCTTAATCCATAAAATCCGGTCTGCAAGTATCTTCCAAATCCTTTTACTATGAAATTCCCTCAGTGGATTTCTATCCCACCAGTAGCTCGGCAAGAAAACACAAAGAGCGACTGTCGTACTAAAGATATTCATAATATGATTCATTCAGACTGCTGAATAATCATAGGAAAGGATTTTTTATTGGGCACTTTGAACAGGATGAATTATTATGCTTTAAAGACAGGCTTGAAAAAATGTGAACCTCTCATTTAATCCAATTTACTGTAAAATGTTTTACAGAATTCAGATTTGTTCATACTTGTCCTGTATAATATTTATCCCACCATGTTGTTAATTAGTCCAACACCTACCGGTATTCATATTTAAAAATTACTTTTATTTGGATAAAATTACTTTATTCTTCAGCTGTAAAGTAATTTCACCTCTTCATGCACAAGGAGCTGACTCCGTGCCAAGAGAACACCAGTCTTCTCAGTGATCTATGTCATTTCCTGCGTGCCTCTAGACTCAGTGCTCACTCCCTCCCAGACTAAACATCCTGCCCTCTGCTGTAACAGGCCTGGCAAAGAAATGGACAGCCACGGGCCGCAACGCAACAAGGCGAGAACAAACCACAACCAAGAGCAAAACACAAGATGACAGATCAAACTGGAAACACAAAAGCTGTGAGGAGAGAAATGTACCAAGTCAGTGAATGAGACATGGACACCACACAATCAGTAAGGATCCAGCATTTTACACCGGTAAAGTTGCAAATCCAAGAACAAACAGCAGGTGGGGTTTTGGATTCTATTAGTTGGTGATGAGGAAGAAAGTCAGTGTAAGCTCATAAATATTTAAAACTTCTTAATAACTTCATGAAGCAAACATCTGACTGGCACGTTGAACCACAGCAGTAATGATCATTAAGGGGACTACAATTAACAATGTAATGATTTATCAGATGGAACATTGTGGGTGTGGGGTAAGAATGTTAGCGCTCCGTAATAATTCTTTAGTATATTACTTGTGTGGTGTAGAGGATAATTATTTATCTAGAGATATTGCTTAGGATTTAAAAGTTGTAAAATGATGTCATGGGGTAGGACTAGATAAGTCTAACTTCTTCCTACTCCGTTCAAGTATGTACTAGGTATAAGTAAATTGATATTGGATTATTATTGTTGGATATGTGTGAAATTACATGTGTTGACATATCAACTGTTTTACATGCTTGAATGAATAAATCAAATCAAATCAATGTATGATTAATTGATTAAGATTATTTAATATGATGAACTGATTCAAGAGAGGTTAATATTGCTGACAAATACTGTGCTTTGATAAATATCTAAAAATGCTAAAACCCTGTAGGTGCGTACACTCTAGTGTGTTATAAAACATGTATTAAGTGTTTGTACAGTATACTTTTTATAGGGTGATAAACTAAATGCTAATTAGCTGATAAACTTAATGGAATCTTCAAATTACTGTTCTTGTCCAACAGTCCAAAACTCTGAAGGACTTACAACATAAAATGGAAAAGAGCAAGCAAGTCCTCATGTTTTGAGAAGCAGGAAAGTGAATATTAAACATTTTTTCTTTGAAAGAACTATTAAGAAGAGTTTATCTGCATATGAACGACAGCTCTCTGTGGCCTTCACGCTGCCTCAGTACAGCATCTGTAAGACCTCTCACAGCCACCAGCTCATCCATCAGCACTCTGGGGGGAGAAACTCGTCCAACATGTGGCTTGGCGTCAAACAAAGTTTACTTATTACATCCAAAAAAAACCCACTTGAGTCATACATTTAATTAGTGTCAGTGTCTTATCGGAGAGAGAGGCTTGTTTTGAGAAGCCTGGCAGCTCATTTCAGCGTTCCGCCATGTGTGATATTTGTGTTTCATAAGCACACCTCAGTCTGGCAGCGTGGGGGTTGGGGACTCTTGGCAGTGCACGGCTGAATGAATAAGTAAATGCACTGAGGATCAGCTGTCTGAAGGCCCTATTAAGACTAAGATATCTGCATAAGCTTCTAAACATACACATCCACGTGTGTGTGCACCCACTGGCGATCTTGTACATGCATGACGTGTACAAATGTTAATAACTGGGAGCACAGGCTTCACACAAGTGCTGCTTTCATGAAACTCATGAAAAAACAGTAGTTAGGGTGGAAAAAGACGGGCTTTTACGATGTCCCCTGAGAATCTGCAGCCACAGCCTGTACTTGTGTTTTAGTTCCAGACTCACTGCTGACGTGTTTCAGTCTCCTCCCCTACAACAAGGATTCAAGTATGATCTGGGACACTAATGCCCTTTTATGGAATTTAGTGTAAAATAGTGAGTTCACTTTGTTCCCCACTAATAAACAGGAGTTTTACAAACCAGCAATCATTTTCACACATGACTGGATTTCAACATTATACAAGAATAACACAAGAAAACACTGGCCTGCAAGTGTTTGCTCTGCAGTACATTTTCCTGGAAAGCTTTCTTAAAGATGCAAAAGACTAAGCCAAAGAACAGAAGATGTGACAGCTTGAAGGTGAGGCAGATGACAAACGTACCGACTCAGGGGCTTTAATAAAGATCTTGGTGCGACCGAGCTGAAACTGATCCTGGTCCATGTTGACAGATCGTAAGAGATGAAGGACGCCTTGTTTCTCATCCCCTTGCCACGTTGGCCAGGACTCTTTGGTTAGGATGGCGTACCTGAGGAGCAGAAGGAATTTTCAGGAATATGACACAAGCTGGATGAACTTTAATGTTGATGTGTGCCAATCCTACATTTCTGCTCCTCAATCTGATTCCAATTCCTAAGCTACCAGTCAGACACCAGTTCTCTCTTTTTCCAGCTTTATAAATCTTTATATCTTACTGTATGAAGCTTTTTGGAACCATTTTAAGGAAAGGCACCATGAGGCCAGGGATGGCACTGAAACCATAACTGAATAATGTCAATGGTAACTGTAATTTTTAGAATGACACTGACACAGAAACTGTATTTAATGTGGATCCATCACATTATAGCTGGTACCCGACCTGCTTAATAAGTTCAGGAGCAGTCCTAGTCTAAAAGCTAAACACAGTCAAAAATAGACCTGCCCTCACTGTGGGTCTGAGGTGCATTACCTGTTGAGGAACTTCCTGAAGAATCTGCGGTAGGCGTAGCCAGCACGCCTCACCCTGATGTTTTCCTTCAGACCCAGATACTCCACCTGGTGCTTTACTCTACATACAGAGGAAAAAAGCACCTAGCATCAGTATTAAAATAAAAGTTAAAAAAAAAGTCTTACATGAGCAACGACAGTTTACATGAGCGCTGACCCCTCTGAATGTTGTACTGATGGATATTAATGGCTGCCTTTTTCCTTTCCTTCCTATTTTGTCATATCCTCCTTTATTCCCTCAAGTTTATTCTCCACTTTTTTCTTATGTATGCAAATATAAAAGATGAGAATAAAGCAGTTAACAATGCCAGACATAAAGATGTCCAGAAACAAAAATATCTTATACTAATAAATGTATTATAATAATATAAGGAAATTGAGAGTGAGGGGGAAAAAAACCTCCATTATATCCAGATAAAACGTCATGTACTGTATATTTATAACCACAACCTTTGACATTAGCTGTCAGCTCTCAGCTTTAAAATATTTTTACCAGTTCTACATCACATGAAGCTCCCACTTCATAGGTCACTCTATGCAAAACAGCTGCTTTTTCATCAAAGACCTTAAGCCCTACACTCAGACTTCCTGTGAAAACAGTGGTTCTGGTGCTAATTAATGAGCCATCCTGTACCCGACTCACAACAGGAAGGTCATTGGCTCTGAACAATACAACTGGCACTGTACATCTGAACATACAGTATCCAAAGCCTGTGAGCACAGAAGAGAGAGCGGGAAATGGAAACAAAGGGATAAAGAGGGGGGAACGTCTGAAACACGTCTCACATGACTGAGTGTTCTGTAAGACAAAACAAATCCTAACATGGACAAAACCAGCAAAATGGGTGGAGGAGGAAAAAATCAGAGCTGGTCTTTACCTTTTGTGTGAGAGTAGTTATAGACCCGTGTTTATCAAAATGATGAAAGTGAAATTTTGGAATTAAACTAAAGAGTGATTTCACAAAATATCACTGATTATCATGAAGAATGCACTAGCTGAAGGAATGTGTACTGTATTTTGAACTATTTTATCCATATTATTTCCTTTTAACAGTGTTATATATATTTATTGTCCACTCTGTACTTGTCAGTTATCAGTCTTCTCTGATCTAGTTCCTTCACTAGCAGCTGCAGAAAAAACATATCAATGAGAAAAATGTAAGGATTTTTTAAAGAATGAACAATGTGACACAGTAGATGTAGGGGAAATCTTCGTAATAAATGCTACTCTTATAATTTGCTCTAAGTAGGGGAAAGTCACCTGATAAATGTGCCTTATTCTTCAACTTTTTACTCCTAACTTCGTTCTTTAGAACAGTCTTAAATATAATGATGGCAAGTTTAAATGTTTTAAATGCACATTTAATTGTGAGGTCAACAGGGGACACAGTCACTTACCGGCTCTCTTCCCAGTCCCTGGGCTTCTTGGTTTCATTAGGTTTGATACAACGAATGTAGTGTGGAGTACATTTCATCAGTGTGTTCACCAAATCATTGGCTTGTTTCTAAAGAGGGGAATAAAAGCAAATAGGGGAAAAAGATAATGATGATGATGATGTCAAAGTCATGGAAAGCCAGACTGCTGTGACTGATAGAAAACACACATTATCTTGTCAAAAGCCTTTTCCCACAGCAACTGTGATTAAAAAAAAAAAAAGGAGGGACAGGTACTGACAACACACCTTTATTTTGCTGCCTGCAGTTGTGGGTCGACCCTTCTTCTCAGCGTTGAGGTTTTCTGGAAACAGTGCTCTGATGAAGGCGCTGTTAGAGGATAAGGGTGAGGAAGCTGAGTTAGGACTGGCACCAAGAGGCTGGGCTCATCCTTATATCAACAAAACATGCTGTTGACCTGAACAGTGCAGTCAATGATTAAAAACCCATGGACATATGACTTAAGGTCACAAGTTTAAATTCCTGTACCACCTGTGAAGGTCAGAGTCAGAGTTGGGTGGGGAAAGAACACATTTGTACAAACACCTCTGTGTGCAGCAAACCAGGCCACAGCTGTAGAGACGAATGTCTGCTATTATCTGACAACATGCTTGGTTAAACAGAGTAATTAATTGCTTTGGTTTGACTTTTTCTTATGAAAAGAGAAATAAAGAACAAAGTTAATCAGTGTATATTTCCTAAGAGTATCAGTCTCTTTTCATTCAGTATTTTTCATCCTCATCTTTTTGTAATTGAAGGATGTACAGTAAATCACCATTTCCGTTTGAGTGTAAAGCAGCACGGTCCTTCATAGGAGGGCTATTCTGAAGCCAGCATTTAGTAACAGTTTTTTAATAACAATCAGAAATAAAGACAAAGGCAGACAATACTTTAACACAAATCTTTTACTCATATCACCAAAATCCAATACTATAATTCAATATCCTTTCTCCACAAATGCCTGAATATATGGTCAGTAACAACATACAGTATCTGGGTATGGTCAAGCAGCGCTGATCCATACTCTCCCCACCAAGAGTACTGGGTGCAGTTCATTTGAATTTCAAAAAACACACCACAAATGTGTCTAATACCACACTACAAATGTGTAGAAGTGGTGTTTTATACTGTACCAACACCATCACTGTGAATTGTTGCTGCTGCTCAGAATGTAGCAGATATTTGTGAAGGTTCCATATCCTCAGGTTTCTCAACTGAAGACAGACACCACTTTCAAACACCCTTTAACTGACAGTTTGTACTTTTGAACTCTCTTTTTACTCAAATCTGATATGTTTCTGTGTCAGCATGTTAAAGTGCTACATCCATTTTAAAAAAAGAAAGAGATGCTCTCCCAGTGTTTTCCTCAGAGCTGTATATTAAAATTGATAATGTCTTGTAGTAGTTTTTCTGAGCAGTTATGTTTTAAATGTGCCATCTATTTAAAGGCTGGTGTAAAGACACAATTTAAATAGCAGTTCTAGATAATCTGATGCAGGTAAAACCAGACAAAATACAGGCAGGTTTATCAAGACCAAAATCATTTTCATTTGTGTGATCAGCACATCTGTCAGTCAGACACCAAGTATTTGGCACTTTTTAAACTGTAACAGCTGTTTTTGCTTTGAAAAGTCACAGCAAAATGTGATGACTGAGGCCTGGTCTGCAGCTTAGCATTCGACTTACTGCAATTTGCTTCCATTGTTGCCTTTGAAGTTTATTATTTTATTATTTCAAAGTGCTTTTTTATCTTTTTTTTTTAAATTCCATCTCTGAATCTGACTTTCTCCCACACTGGTATTTGTTTGGTTTTAGGCTTCAGACTCAAGGCTATGGACACAGAAGAAAGGAGCAGTGGGTGTGGTAGCTATGTACAAAGAGACCAGAAGTCTTCTAATACTGTCCAAATGACAATGCTGGTCCTTCCTTTCTTCTCATTCAAACAAATGAGGCTGCTTCCTTTATGAGTGACTGTGCCAAACTCTTTTATCTATGTGTATACAGTATATATATTTGTGCATATGTGAAGTGCATGTATGTACAGCAGCAAGAAAAGGTAAGTGAACCCCATGGAGTTATCTGCATTTATCCATACATTTGTCTTAAAATATGGTCAGATCTTCATTTACGTTGCAAACACCTTTTATCTCATCTCATCTCATTTTCTATACCGCTTAGTCCCGAACGGGGTCGTGGACACCTTTTATTTACACACAAATTAGTCATTGTTCTTGTATCATTAAACATTCACTGTGTAGGTTGGGAAAAGTATGTGAAGGTTAATGACATGAGCAAAAGCATATTGGAGTGAGGAATTAGCAAACCTGGAGTCCAGCCACTGAAATCAGATTAGAAGAGTGGGTTAGAGCAGGTTTGACTTGTTAAAAGCAAGCACCTTGAGTTTGCCAATCACAAGAAGCATCTGCTAATGTAAACAGTGCCTCAAAAAAAGAGAGAGATTTTACAAGACCTATGATCAAGAATTTGAGAGTTTAGATATTCATTAGAAGTGGGTGTCCAGCTAAGACGACTCTAAAGGCACAGTGAGGTACAAAGGAAGCCCAGAGCAACAGCTACAGGCTTAAAGGAACCATCGGAGCTGGTTACCATCTCTGCTCAGGAGTCCACCACACATAAATCATGGTGTGTGGTTTCATGGAGCATGGTGTCCATGGCAGAATGACACAGAGGAAACTACACATCACAGCACATGTGAGGTTTGCCAAAGGGAACCATGACAGTCCATACTGTGGAGGAAATGTTTTGTGGACAGATGAAACTAAGGTTGAATTGTTTAAGAAGAACACACAGCACAAAGTATGGTGTACAAAGGGCACTGCGCATCGGCATGAAACCATCATCCCAGCGCTGAAGTGCCTCTGGGCCTGGGCAGCTGCCATCACTGAGGGGAAAATGCATTTCCACTTTTATCACGGCATCTTACAGGAGAATGTCAAAGTGGCTGTTCCCCGGCTGAAGCTCAGCAGAAGCTGGGCAATGCATCTGGACAGTGACCACAAACGTCAAAGTAAATCTACTACGGAATGACTTCCAACAGAGACTCCTCCGTTTGCTGTTGCTCAGTCAGAGCCCAGACCGAAACCCAAAATGATGTGAAATAACCTCAAGATAGCGGCTTACACCAGATATCCTGAAAATATGGCTGAGCTGCAGCAGGTCTGTGCCACAGCTACTGGTGGCACTTGTTTGAGGTTGCTGTAGCCAAAAGGAGATTCAAGCCATTATTAAATTTAAGAGCTGACTTTACTTTTTTCACCCACACTGAAAATGTTTAATGGGTGTGTTCAATAAGGACACAAAAGGTTATTATGTTAGGGTAGGGACTCGCATCCTGTTTTGTGCTTTTATTTTGTCTGGTTTCCTGTTTTGTGTCACCTCACCTGCCGCAGCTTTACCCCGGTACATGATTACCATTCATTGTTTCCACCTGTTGCTCATTATCCCCTGGTCTTCAGCCTTTATATTCTCCCCTCTTCCCTCAGCCACTTGCTGGTTCATCCTGTATTCTTTCTGCACCTGTTCCTGAGAGCTGTTCACCTGTGCCTTACTCCTGAGAGCTGTTCTCCACCTCTTGCTAGTTTCCCCGTCACTGGTTCCTGATATCTGTTCGTCTGTTCCCTTCCCTGTTGTTCCTGTCACTCGCTGACTTCTGTCTCCTGTGCTCCGTGTCTGCACACTGCACCCAGTTAGTTCCCTTTCCTCTCACTCTCTGTTCGACATTAGTTTTGGTCTTTCCCCTGTCTCGTTAGTGGGCTCTGTATCCTGGGACAAATCTGTTCTTTGCCTGTCCCGAAGATCTATAACTTGGTTCCCTGGTTTCTGTTGTATTATAATGCTCCCTGACTGCCCTGTGTTCTTTATAAGTTTTGCACCCCCTTGTCTCGCACTGTCAGGTTGTGCACCTTGGTTGTTTCTGTGTTGCCCCCTAGTTAAATTAAAATGCTTTTTAACACTACACCCCTGGCCGTGTCTGCATTTTGGGTCCTACCTAGCCTGAACCACATATAATGTATTATTGTTGGTGTGTTATGAGCTGAAGCACATAGTGTTTGCCTATACTCCCACCCCATGCATGAGACCCTGTCAGCATTGGCCAGCTCCATCAGACTGCTTCACCCCAAGTGTGTGACGGAACTTTATCACAAGCCCTTATTTCCTGCTGCTGTCAGACTGTACAACCAGCATTGCTCCCAATACACCCCCGTTCCCCTGCCGGTCGACCTCACACATCAACAGACTGGATAACTGTGAATACACAGTATATCAGAGTGCAATGTCTTACTTTTTATTATTATACCTACAATTGTTTATACTGATAATACCTTGTCTGTTAATTTTTGATTTTGGACACCGAGTGCCTGTGTTCTATCCCTTTGCTGCTGTAAAGTGTGAATTTCCCCATTGTGGGACTAATAAAGGTTTATCTTATCTTGTGATGTGAAGATCAGGTCACATTTTATTATCAGTTAATGCAGAAAACCAGGTAGCTCCAAAGGATTCACTTTCTTTTTCTTTTACTGTATTTTTCAGCACGTGTCTAAATGGGATTTTTGACATGCCCTCCTTTCCCGCTGTGCAAAGAGAGCACACAAATGGGGTAAACAGTGACTGAGGCCTGCAGGGGTTAGACAGACAATGCAGGCTGATTGCACAGATGGCCAAGTTGACACAAATAAAGCCCATGAAACCAAAACACAGGGGGACCAGACTCTGCAGTGGACACCTGTACTTTTAAGGTCAGACTGAATATACCTTGATAACCACATACTAGGACAGAATCCAGGTCTGATTCAAGGTAGAGGGCACGACGTAACCCAGTCCTGCACACTTCTGCTATGTCCTGTCAGTTTCCAGATGCACTGAAACATCTGAAGCTCTCCTTCAGATGCATTTGATTAAGGCCATATGTATCACAATAGCCAACTCCCTTTAAATGAACACCAAAGAAATCCTCGCCACATGTTAAGCCAATGTGCAAATAGAGGCTACTTACATTTCACTGCTCTGCATCAACTCAATGAGGTCAGTAAAAAGGACATCTCGGTTCCTCTCGCAGAAGCCCTCTGCATCGTAGGACACCTGGAGGACAGACAAAGAAGGATTTACAAGGAATCTAAACTAACAGAGGATGAGGTTGAACTCCTTGAAATGAAGAAAAATGAAAGATGACACCTGTGTGAAAAAAAGAATTGTAATTGATATTCAGACCTAAATCACTGGCTTGAATTTTATGGGAAAAGAAAATGAAGGGTTGCAGAACCAAGCTTTACACCTCCCAGGATTAGCTTCCATATTAAAATCATATAAATTAAAATGTTATTTCTGCTCTACTGGAGGCAGCGAGGAATGTTTGGAGCCTGGTCATGGGAGCCCCTCACATTTCTTTGGCATGGCCCATTAATCCTGTGGCATGTGTGCCAAGCTATGGCCACATCTGGAGAATGACACTGAACAACAACCTCAGCCAAAACACCAAAATAAAAGTGAATGCAAAGAAAAAAAGAGTCTACTGAATGGTAACATATAAATGAAATAAGGCTAATTAATATGCATGATGTTGTTTGACATTGTTATATAAGGGATGGGGACTGCAGCCGTAAATGGACAAAGAAAAGATGTGGAGGAAATCTGAAAAGGACAAAGATCACGACGCAGACTCCAGAATGAAAGCACCAGCTCAATAAATGGTATTTATGACAGATCATAAAAGTGGAGAGTGACAGAAACAGCTCCATAAAGAATGACATTTTAGTTTCTATTCCCAGAAGTTACTGTGATCTCCCTACTGCAGACTGCAAGCATAATGTATTCATTTGCAGCTGATACCATACCAAAGACAAGTGTATGGAGTTGCTGTAGAGCTGTAATCCTTCTGTGTTGTCACCCAGTGCATACAAGTAAGTAGAAAGACGCAAGTGCTGCTTGTCAACAAGGTGCTGCAAGCTATCAGGGTGAGTGGACAAACAGACTGAAGTCCGCTAAAAATGTACACAGTGCTAAGTGCACTCCAGCTGACCTTGCCAGCATAGTGGTGGATGATGAAGCCCTGATTCCAGCTGTTGAAGTGCTCATGGGTGTTGATCTGGACTCTGAGCTTCTGCAGCATGGTCTGGTCGGCTCCTTCGCCCACCGCATGCATGGTGGCGCATACATCGTCCAGGATGCTCATGATGCCAGGAGGATTCTGGGATGACAAGGAAAACATTTCACATTCCCAGAACTTAGATTGGACACTCACCAAACTGTCACTAGGTCACATGAAGCTGATTCAGTCTTAAGCTTTTACCTCTTACCAATTATCCTGTAGTTACAGACAGAGAATGTTAGAAAAAGGTCCAATCAAAATATGCACTCAAATTCTCAAATGTAATTATTTGCTGTTTTTTCAAGTTTAAACTGCTGGTCAGACAAAACATGACAGACAAAGGGCACCCTGGTTTCAGGGAGGATGTAGTGGGCATTTTATAGGCTGAAAGATTATTGATCAAACAAGTAATATAAAAATTAATCAGCAATGAAAATTAATATTAATTGAAGCTCTAAGATGTGAAGAGTATTAGAAGTTGATGATTAATAGCAAGGATCACTAAAAGTCTGCACCCTTTGCAAAATAAAATAAAGTATCATAATAAAGTTCACTTCAGCGTGGAGAATCATCACCCTCTGAGACTAAATAAACAAACAGTCTCTGTTTGGTTGGTGTCCTGCTTGGTTCTATTATGTCTGAAGTTGATCAGCGCCCTTCAGTTTGCACAGTGGTAACAGTGTCTCTAGCTCTGAGAACACTGCCTCTGTCAGTGGGCTAACTGCAGTGAGGCTGGTGTGAAGAGCTGAACTGTCATTTGTTTGTTTATGGTTTATTACTTTGCTCTCGATGAGATCGCAGACGATTTTGTTGTTGAAGTAATCAATAGGAGTCCACTTGATGCCCTCCTGCACATACTCCTCCTACAAAGACAGACATTAAAAGCAGGGTCAGAACACAGAACAGCTAAAGAGAGCTAAAAAGAGGACGACTCTGGAGGAGCATTACCTGCTCTGCCTTGAGAGTCAGCTCAATGAATATCTGCTGGAGCTTCTCATTCACAAAGTTAATGCAGAACTGTTCAAATCCATTTTTCTAAAGGAAAGACAACACGGTTAATAAAATCCATACAGCCTATGTGAGCTTTGTCTTTAGTAGACTGCAGGTATTCTCTGGGCTCAGTGGGAGATATACACAAACTGGCATTAAAACAAAGGACCCAACTGTGCATTCACAGCACATACAATGGACCTTCAGCCTCAGCCTTATGTGTTGGTGGTCTGAATCTTCCTGCCTAATAGCCAGTGGCCAACAAAATGCAGCACTGTGCATACAAACAGAAAAAAACCCTAACTGAAACAGAGACAAGGCTGTGGAGCAGATCTGATATTATTTACAATGGATAATGTTATGCTGTCTCATGGTTCACACTAACAATCACGATATCACCAATCTAGAGCTCTTTGCAAACAAAAATTAGACAAAACCACTTTGGTTTGTCCAATCCTATCAACACATCCAAGACCTTTCATTAAGCAAACTGAACGAACAAGTAATCAGATTAGAAAGGCACGCTGAAGTCTGCCGTCTCAATCAGGAAATGGACCTAATCCATATACTTTATAAATTAGTTTTATCCTTTGTGTTTAATCTGTTTAAATGCTCAAAGTTATTACCTGTTAATCTAATTTGTGTGTTGAAGCAAAGTAAAACTCCAGTAGCCATGTGTCAGCTTGTGATACAACCAAAACACTTACTTGAAAAATTTCAAATCCATAAATGTCCAGCACTCCGACATTTAACTCCTGATGGTCCTTCACCATGGCTTTATTGATAGACTGAAATCAAAGGATTGTGTTACTAAAATATAGGATAATAGCACAGAGCTGTATTACTTAAAAACTGAAACTGTTTGAGCTTCATAAACACAGATGTTAAGGTGTTGCACTGAATTGCATACAACTGTACAGGTGTGCCTGAAAAAGTGGCCAGTGGGTGTACTTCAGATGTAATGAACAGCACAACTATGCAATCATACCTCAACTAGGTAGTCAAACACATGAGAATGCAGAGCTTTAGAGAGAGCGTCTCGTGTGTAACACGCCTGCTCCACGTTCAGTGTCACGTCAATAGACTCCTTTGTATTTCCCCACTTGCTGTCCATCTTCCGGCTCGTCAGTTTCTCCCTCAGACGGTTCTGGTCAATTCCAAGCAGAAATGCAGGAAAGGCTAAAACTGTGAAAACACAGAAGAGAAAGGAAAGAAGATAAAAAATTAAAGAAATTTAAAAAATAACTATGTAACTTCAAAATGTTTATTTTCCAAAGTGAATCTGTTTTTGTCAGTTTTTTCCAGACTGCAAGTGTAAACGTTCAGCTGCATGTTATAGCACAGGACAGCGATTATAATTCTACATGAATTTATATACTGAAAAAAAGCCAGTGTTCTGTATAACTCAGATAATATTATCACCCACATTCAACAATCAAACAAATGACGGCACCCAAAATCAACAATCAAATGAATGGAACCGCTCATTTAGTTCATACTGTATATTACGTTGCTGCACAATATTGATAAACAGAAAAATAAACCAGCATGTGTCAGCATATTAAAGACATCTCTCAGTATGCAAATGAATAAACACGACTGCATTTACTGCAAAGGCAGCCAAATGTAACGTTTGCATAGCAGAGGGAGTCCAATATACAGCACCTTTAGCACTGCATTTACCTTTATCAACTGGTCATAAAGTCTCACAAATCAAAAAAGCTACTGATAATCAGAGCATGCAGCTGTGGTGTAAAGCAACAAAACTGAGGTGATATTGTTGACAAACCTTTGAATTATAGCTGAATGCAAAACAGAAGCACAGTAATGGCTGACCCTTGAAAAAAAAAATGTCAAGGAACACCACAGATCATTTGCCCTGACCTGGCATTCATATTGTCCCCTGAGAGCCTCTCCCTGCCTTATTACAGTGACTCACTTCCCCTAAAAGGAAATAGCTCTGAGGCCTGCAGACTCACTGTGTCTGGGAATGCATCAGTCCACTGCAGTAGCTCCCCTTTTGGGACAGTAGGGTGTGACTGGTCATATGCCTGCCTAAACCATAGGGGAAAAGTCACCCTTTATGTTCAACAGGACAGGAATGGATTGTATAAGCTGAGCTGGAGGCGTTCACACACTGTATATTTCCAGAACAATGCATATGTTCTCCAGCTGGAAATTTGTCAGTCAAAGTAGCAGTGAATAATGACAGCAACAGGAGGGAGAGTTGTCAGCACAGAGGTTTACCAAGAGGGTGGCTTCACTTATTCCAATAAGACACACACAATATGATCCTGCCATTTCTTTGTACAGTATTGACTCTGCTAACTCAAATAATGTTTGTAATAATAAAATTATGGATAGTTGAATGTTTACATTCAGATATGGGAGTTCTTCAGCCAAATAAAAAAAAAACATTGAGATTTTTTAATTATACTGTATTTTTGTATTCATCTGGTTATGAAACGTAACTAAAGGTATATAATAAATGTAGTGGAGTAAAAAGTACAGTATTTGGCTCTGAAAATGTAGCAAAGTGTAAGTATGAAGTAAAATTAAAATACTCAAGTAAAGTACAGATACCTCAAAATTGTACTTAAGTACAGTACTTGAGTGAATGTACTTAGTTACTTTCCACTACTGAGCATGACTGTGTAATTCATAAAAATATTATGTATGAAAACAACAGGTTGTCGCTATACCAGAGGTTATATGCAGGACTATTTTGTGGCCAGTTTTCTGTTTGTATGACAGTTTTTGTGCTAAGCTAAGCTAACTGGCAGCTGTCTGTAGTTTCTGCATATGTACATACAGATTAATTAAAGTTCAGAGTCAGTCACTTCCATTACAAACTCATGTTATGCATGCAAGCCTCTGAGAAACACACATGGCTTAATTTAAAATTCTAGTCAAGTATCTTTGGAAGATGTTTACAAAGATACCAAAGGTTTCATGCAGACAAAAATGGTATCTTGGGTTTTAGTATTGTAGTCTGCAACAAGCAAGAGCAACCTCCCAAACAGCGTATTGAAGCTATGTAGGAAAATAACAGAAACAAGAGAGAGAACAATAAGGTTCAAAAAGTGAAAGTACTGAATTTTAGTGCTAAAATATTAGTCATTTGTACAAAACATTACTGTTAGGATCAAGTTACTTTTAAGTAAATAACCAGCCAAAAATACCCAAATTACTTGTACAAGTCATTTCAACATTTCTTTCAATAACAAGAGGTGATGCACTGATGAACTTTAGCTAGTGTAGTTGGGTATGGGGAGCAGGAGGTCTGAATCTGTGCAGCACACTGCAGTTTAAGCACTCAGGAAACAAGACTGGAGGGAACAGGAAAGATTATGAAGTGCTACTGTTACATCTACAAAGAACAGACCAAGGCTTTGTACATTAGCAACCACGTTCTCATTTGCACCATACAAATAGTGCATGAGAAGGGAAAAGAGAACAGGAGAGAAGAATAAAATGAGGTAGGAAAAGGCTAGAGGGAAGAGGGCACAATGAATATTTTTTCCAAGTAATTTTAGTCTCTGACGAAATACGTCCAGACTTTCAATAATAGTGCTTTATTTTCTGGTAATCTGCATGGTCTTGGATTATTCCAGACAGCTGGCTGCTGCCCTGCCTTAAAGATATAAAGCTTTAGGGAATAAATGTGGTAAGAGAGAAATATTGTCCAAAACCAACCGAGAAAGGCAGCTCAGGACAGCAAAGAGAGGAGAGACATTCAGCAAGAATGCAATGAAAAGAAGAGATTTACCACATCCCTGTCCCAACCTGAACATTCATGGTTCCCAGACTATGAATCCTACAGACTTTGGTGATCATTGACTTTTTCCTCTAGCATCACCGGCAAGTCAAAGTTTTCACTATATAGCTAAATCTAAAAATAAAGTATCTGCAGCTATTAGAAAAACTGGCACAAATTACATTTCCATCAGCCACAACTGCATTTTGTAGTTAGTGCTAATTAGCAGCTGTTACCACTCAGACACACTAAACTAAGACTGTGAATGCTGTAAACACTACACCTGCATGTTAGCATGCTGCTATTAGCATCGAGTTCAAAGGACAGCCTCACACAGCAGTTATGGCTGTAGACCTCAAGTGTTGTTGTAACACACATGTAGAAGACTATCCATAATCATGTTAGTGTTGTGAGAATGGTAGCATGCTAGCATTAGCTTTCGTCTCTGTGCTCATGTAACCCTCAGGGCCATTCACCATCTAGTTACACCCACTCGCATGGCTGTAGACGTTAAGTCTTGTTTGGTTATAACTTGATACTTTGATTTTTTTAATGCCTTATATCCCTTGAAAACTGCTCATCAGGTTGAACCGCAACATGCTAACCACACCACTGTTTTGACAGGCAGTGAAACATTGTTAGAGCATAAATAGCAGTCCTTTTTCCATCCACACACAGTTAACTGAGTATATTTGTTTTTACAAAAACAAATTTAAATGTGCCAAGAAAAACCTGGAAGACCTTTTTTTCCCCAGCTAGTAAATGTTAACAGCAAATGAAAAAATAGCCAAAATTCATTCTCATAAAAGCTTTAATGTGAGCTCTGGTTGCCACTACTTTTATTTATTTTTAAATGAACCATGTTAAGCACAAAATTAGGCAGCATTCAGCCCGTTTGTGAACAAGTCCTGGTGTGAGTCTACTTACACTCCTCACTCTCCACAGCAGCGTAGTTGCCTGATTCCCTGAAATTGATATTTCCCAGGTGCAGGACTCCAGCCACAATCTGAAGAACCATGGCACTGTCCTCTGCTGAGATGCCAATCACATGCATGGCATGCTGGGAAAGCAAAGGAACAAAGTCAAGCTAAATCAGTATGGATTTACACACTCCTACAGTACCAAGCTCAAGTCCTCTAATTACTCCTGTTGCGGTTTGACTGGTAAACAAAAACAGGTGGAGGTCACTGAAAAAGAAGGCATAAGAGTAGCAGGGTAGAAAGAGGTATGTGGAGAACAGACTGTGAGCCACATGAACACTGGTATGAAATTCATGGACACACACAACACCACTGAGGGTGTTAAGTTATTGTCAGTTAGGCAGAAGGGATCTGACTGTACCATTGTCTCCTGGAATTCACTCTTGTCGTTGATGTCGTCCACTTTGTAGGAGCCAGACTGATTGAGGTAACTATAGTAGTCCAGACTTGTGATTCCCAAGCTGCTCTTCTGCTCTCCACTGGCTCCTTCTATCAACTGTAGAGCAGAACTTAATAGTGTATAACTGTGTATGCAACAGTTATAGACATGCCTTTAAACAAATCTTGTGTGTAGTGTTAAATACATTTTCTATGTTCCATCTGTTTATGACAAAACCTATCTGTTCTATTTTTTCCAGGGATCTTGAGCCATGCACAGCAAAAACAGGCTGACCTTCATCCTGCAGCCAAATGGCACATCTCACCCAGTGTGTCCTGAAATTCCCCCACTCTTCACGAGTGATGACCGGTTCGCTTTTTAGCTCAACAAAGGAGTCTTACCTGATAGAATATATGGAAACTCCTTTCGCCAGGATTCCTCATGACAACACGTGACTTCTCCAGAAGGAAGTTAGAGATTTTCCCTCCGTCTGGTTCACCACCAGAGCTGAACCAGATCTCAAAGTACTTCCCCTAATGGACCAAAAGCATGTTTATTTTAGTACTGGAGTATACTGCAATAAAGCTTAAAGCCCACCATAAGATCAAAATTACTGGCACCTGGCTGTTCTAGGGGCTGCTGCTGCTGGCACGCGTGTATGTGTATGTGTGTGCGTACTATAACTATAGGTGTTTACATTTATTTAAAAAATATGATCTGATATGACCCGCATCTTGTCTTGAACTCTTCTCCAGACAGGCCTGTAATATAAGATCTATTCCAGTCAAGCTGAGAGCAAAAGCCCAAAACTGAACAGAGACACTATTTATCTCAAGACAGTACCTCAGGAGTAGTGATCTCAGGCCATTAGTGAAAAACCAGAAGTATTTTCCCAAAGCTTGACCAAAAATATCCTACTGAAACAATACTGCTTTGTGCTAACCTGAACACTTAAACAATCAACTCAGCAGAACCTCTGAGGGTTTGGTTTTAAAATGTGCTTTGCCTTAATGTTAAGCAGTAGAGGATGTGCCACAGTGGTTTTGTATGTGCATTTGAGCAGTGTGTGCTTACAGCACAACTCAGGATAGGCAGGGCACACATGAGGTTTGCTGTCTTATGCAATATAACAGAAAACAGAAGAAAAGCAGTTGCTGTAAATCTTTGTTTTCCAAAGACTCAGCTTGGATCCAAAGGTGTGCCACAAAAAGGCTGACTCCTCAGATTACTATGAGATAAGTAGCACTTGATGCATGTGTTAATTTCTGAGCAACACAGTTAAGGATTCACAGTGAAAGCTGGTTATTTAAATTTTGTCTGTGTTTTGATTTTCCAGAGTTGTCTTCATTTACACTGAAAGCTATTTTTGGCATGCAAAAAGATTAGGCAGAAAAAATGTGTCCTTGCAGGAAGATTTTCAAATTCACTTTTTGGCAGTACAATTATCCTGTTTTTAACTTTCGCTGGTGGGTTGCACTCTTTGAAAAGGACTCTCATATTTCTTTGGTCAATAAGATGCAGGTATGAATTGAGTTGGGTACTCTGATTCACAAGAAGTGAAATTAAAGCCTTACAAATCTGCTGGAGTTGTTATTCCTCAAAGTCTTGGCATTGCCAAAGGCCTCTAGCAGTGGGTTGGACTGAAGGATGATGTCTTTGACATGCTGCAAAAAAGACAGATAGATACAGTGAGCTGTTAACTATGTCACAGACAGGCTATACAGCAGGTAGAGACATCACACACCTCAAACCCTCACTGACAGGCTGGTGTGTATGTCTCTGGAATTTTCCACTCAAACGTGAATATACACACACAAATGTGCATCTACAGACAGACATAAAGTCTGGAGGACATTATATTTCCTGTGAGGCATCTGCTTGTCAGAAACACGGGTTTTAAGTGCAGCAGACACAGCTAGTGCCACTTCCATTATTGTGCACAGAATTGAGAGGAAGTTATTTTTTTGAGTTCCTAAATTTGGCCCTGTACAAAAGGGGAAAAATAAATGCCCTTCACATTTCAGGTTATTTATAGCTATCCATACTGAGGTTCTTCCTACACTTTTGTCTTTTAAATTTTGACTGGATGCAATATATTTACAGAATGAACTTTCAAAACACTGACTGAAAAGTGAGAACACATTTCCAACAGGGTCAAAAGATGGTAAAGCTAAATAAAATTAATAAATCTGAATTTCTTATGAATCTTTGTAAAGATAATCGTGCTGAGATATATAACACTACTGGAGTTATCTTTTCAGAACTATTTTTATCAGTTTAAAGCTTGAAGATGATTTCTTTTGCTGCCTTGGTGGAAGGAGCTCTCATTGGATTACACATAAAAAACCCACTACCATCATGGTGCAGGCATTTCCTCATCAAACTTTAGATCTTTATCAAGCTTAGTAACTGGACATCTGCTGGGCTGGGAGGCCGCCAGATGGCTGAAGGGGGCTGGGGGAATAAGAGACCATTTATGAGCTAATAAAGGGGTGTACGGATGTCGAAAATAAGACAAGGACTGAGTCTGAAGAAAGAAATAAATGAAGCAGCAGCAGGTTGTTTGATTTCATTACAAATCATTCTTCAATCTGTTAAAGCCATTAATTTAAAAAAAAAACCTCACAGGTTAAAAGTCCAATTCATGCTCCATCTGTTGAATGTATCATGATAGAAAAAGCACCTGCACAGCACGTTAAAGGCTTACCTCATTAAATTAACACTGCAGAGACCAAAGTGGGTGGATGTGTGGATCATTATACCTATATATGTATTACCTGAACATATTTCCTGAAAAAGAAATACTGCCCAGTACCCTTTACTGAGTTACTGTATCAGTGAATATATGCATCATAGTATCTCAAAATTCTCAAATGATTCACACATATTTAAACACTGTCCTAAAAGAGGAAAGGCAGCTCCTCTCACCTGAACTTTGGGTCCACCCCCTGACACTCTGGATATGTAGCTCATGATATATTTGGCTGCCACAGTCTTCCCTGCACCGCTCTCTCCACTGAAAAACATGTTAATGTACAAAAAAAAAGTAAGCATTTTCTCATATATGCAATCTGAGCATCTGAGACCCATTCAAATCCACTTAGTGCATTGGCTAACACCATGCGACACCTGAGTATATGCTCAGAGGTCCAATGATTCGTGTACACCTGAATGGTTGTTTGGCATGGTAGCCAATGGCGGTGGAGAACCAGTGTGTGATGTGCTCTGAGTGACTTGCATGTGGTTGTTCATGGTGCCATTATATTCACTCTCTCACATCAATCACCCAAGCTGCTGCCACTGACTGACAAAAGCCTTATTTTTTGCACCAGCCTCACTGTTGAGGCATTACAAGAACACAAGGTATCCATGAGGGGACTATGACACTTTGTGTTGACTGGTTATTTCCTTGTGCTTTCCCTGATCCCATTAGTTGTTATGCCAGATGATTCTTGTTGAATAATTAGTCAAACTCCTATTACTGTCACCTGTGTGGTCTAATGTCAAACAATTAGCATGCAGAGGAAGGGACTAGGCCCAAAACATGGTATCACAATCTTTTCAGTTTCTCATATCATTTCAGAAAAAGAGACACAGGGGAAGCTTATGATTATGTTTTTTAAGCTGTTATTTGTTTTATTTTGTTTAGTTTATGTGTTTTGTCTGAATGCACAGCAGCAAACAGGATGCTTTGAGCTGTTAAACATAGTAAACATTAGCCATGGTGATATCTGAAGTCATTCTGATTTCCAAGTCCAACCTATAGCTCCATGTTCTTCATTCACCTGGTCAAAATCCACATTTAAATCAAGTCATTACTACTTTTCAGTAGCTTTTGTGTTGCTGTAACTTTTATGTCCATGTCTATGTCTCCATTCTTGTGTGCATATTTCCACCTAAGATGGCCTGGATCCATCAGTCATACTGAACCTGCTTAATCAATACACTCCATTTACTGAACCAGAACATGCTTTTGTACAACGAGAAGCAAGATTCAATTAAATGATTGATAGGATATAGCACAACTAAGCAGATGAATGCTACAGTAATAAGGACATTTAATGGGTTTTGCATCATTTACAGATTTTTCTCCCTGTCTCTCTTCCCTTATCCTACACTTGTCTATTTTCCTCCTTCATGTTGCCAGGGTCATACTGTACTTATTTTGACATATGTGGTTTGGCAGTGGATGACAGTAGAGTCTGTGTTTTCTTACTGTGCCTTAAAGTAGAGTCAGGTTGGTAATAGCTCTGTGAGAAACACAGCTGCAGACTGTTAGAGGCTGCCAGAGGAAGTCATGGGAGCTACTTGATTATACAGCAGTCTCTATACAGTTGTAACCCTCATGCCTTATGCCTCCTCATTTCTCCCGAACCCTCAGCATTGTCTGGGCAACCTCACTGCACACTTTAAGTCAAATCGAATAATGGGAGGTGGAGGGAAACTAATGAGTTTCAGCTTTACTTTTGTTGTTAGAAAAAAAGCTCCCTCTGAGAGCATTGTCTTTCCTCCTGCAAGTTGTTCTCCAAGGAGCTATTTTCTCCACAAGCTGCAGAAGGAGTTGTGAGCCCCCAGCTCAGATTCCGAAGTTAATGCTAATATCTGTAGAGATGTATTAACCAAACAAGGACATGAATTAACAGTGTTGGGGAGACTACTTTGAACATATAGCTTTGCAAACTATCAATTACTTTACACTGGAAGAAGTTAAAATACAGCAAAACTGCTGAAAGTTTTTCAGAAAAGGTACACAAGTACAACTTGACCATTTCACTGACTTTAGCACTGGTCTAAAAAATATGATCCTGTTGTCTTGTCAGTTTTACAACATCTGACTTGTACAAATTTGACAACTAAAACAGTTTTGAACTTGCACCTTTTAGAGCGTAAGAACAGCTTGAACACTGGTCTAAATGGGCCCATATTTTACTACTACTACTACAACTCAAGAGCAGAATCTCTTCTTTATACAACATGAGGAGTCTCTCAGTGTTCTTGTCCAAAAAGCAGTTAGGAATAGAGAAGCAACGGTAAAGTAAAAATTCACACAAAAATGGCAAAAATGTCATTTAACTACTTCAGTCACTACAAAAATATAAATGTAACTGAACTGCCAGCAAGCTGCTGCAAACTATTAGTTTAATTACATGTCATTCACTACTCCCCAACACTGTGAATTATAAAATTCATAGACAGAGATGTTTTAGCATTAACTTTCATAAATCATTAATGGCACTAGCTATGAGGAAGCTGCACAGACAACACTGGGTTCTGGTTTTGTGTGGTTTTAAATCTAATAGGTTACATTGAATTCCCACAGAACTAGCTGATGTTGTATGAACGACGTATTCAAGTAGAGTCTTTTTAATGTGATAATCCAAGAGCTTTGTACTTAAGCTATGGGAACCTACAGGATCAGAATGTAGTCAGTCACCTGACTGTTGGTACAATCAGTCATCCGTTCAGCTTAAAATAATTCATTTGCTGCCCTCAGTTCCTTGGAGAAGCAGTAGAAAAAGACATAAAAGGTGTATGACATCCTGTGCAACAGCTGCGGGTAACACAACATCAGTGAAACGAGGACTGTGGACAAAAGACTGAAAGACACCACATTAGGCTAAAACCAGTCAAAGCATCACCTTGTAACAAAGTTAATGACCAAGAGTCAGCCAAAAGTTGAAAAAGGATCCAGTCCAACTATTATCACATGAATGACGTTCCATATATCGGTCACATGATGGCGCCTAAGCCATCTACAGTCACTGAAAGAAGTCTGTGAGATGTGATTTAAAGTTCCAAATGCTAGTAAAGGGACTTCTGAGTTTAAATCATAGCTTAGATTATTTTGTTACACATACATAAAATAATTCAGCTTGAAAGTTGATGAGTGTGTAGATATTAAGTTCCCTTGTGGTTTTAATTGCCTTACTGATCTACTTCAAATAATTCCATACAGGTGAATTTGTGTAACTTAAATGCTGGTTTCTTATATAATGAATAATTTGTAACTTTCAAACCAAGGAAACATCAGCAGACAGTAAAATATATGGTACTGTGCCAGCCAGTCAACATGACTGCTTCACTGCACTAATAGAGCAGATCAGTTCATGCAAGTACAATTAAATGCAAATGAAAAAAGGATACAGGATATACTGTGTAGTGTAAGCAACGCCATATGACTACACTTGTATTTTTCAAACATTATCTTTGCAGTCTAATTATCACAGCACCCTGCTCTGTTGGCACCTATACAGAGATACAACGAAAGGCATAGCTCCCACAGCCAGGAATTTAGCTCATGGGCAATCATTAAAAAAAGTAATGAGAGAGAGAGAGAGAGAGTAAAGCCTGCTTTTTGTAGGATTAGGTTTTAAGAGCTGTTGTCTGGGTGGTATGTCGACTTACAGACTGAAACTTAACCTACTTTGGGAGATCAGGTGAAGCTGTCAATGAACTCAGAGATCATGTGTTCCCGATAGGACCCTGGTCTTATTAATTCTAGGAGCAGATGTGAAACAGTTGGTTCTGCAAAAACAAAAGTTTTTCTTGAACCTATTACACATGTCATGGGCCTAACTCCATCAAAAAGGTTTGACTGGGGGGTGCCACACTGATAACATCAACAATGTACCTGCTGCTGCTTAGACTTGATAGAAATTTCTAGGGATAGTCACATCAGTCATGTGCTGTAGTAAGTAAACTGTTAAATGCAAATAGCTTTTTTTATAAGTTTGTTAAAATTGTGTGAAATTATATAAAGTAAAAAATCTCCCAGCAAGAGTAGTCAAAACTCCTCAACCACATCCTGAGTTCCCCTTACATTTAATTCACACTTGTTCATAGGAAATGTGAAAGAGAGTAGCACAGGCTGATGCTGACCACACCGCTAGGCCAGCACTTCACAGCAGCCCTTGTTTGCTGAGACCTGGTTCATATTAAACCACTTCCGTGAGTTTGTTTGCTGATTTTGTCAATCACAAAATTTCAACTCAGTACCTTTATGTGGGAAACTGACCTAGCAGCTGCTGCCTGTCCAAACAATGGGCTAAAGTGCTGAAGCAGGGGTCATTCATCATGATGTAAGCATTAGAGTAACTACACTTCTCAGATGACTGGACCCTAGGACAAAGCCCCAATCATGACACCACCCTTCTCTTTCTACAGAACTGTAGCTTATACAGGCTGGAAAACACCTAAAAATTCACTAAATATAGGGAGAGAGGGAGTCTAGGCCCACAACCATGCAGGTGAACTTCCTGTTTTGTTTTTTTTGTGTTTTTTTTAAACCAGGAAGTCCTTCAAAAATAGCGCCTATAACAACTGCTTTGTTTCCATCTGACATCCTGAGCTAACAGAGGTCAAATCCAACCGTGAACTGTGCATTGTTTTCATATTGCTATAAATATTAGCTGTAATAAGATGGAAAAACACCAAAGAAGCACGTTGGTCTCAGTCATTCCACTTTAACAGATGATGTGGTGCAACCTGTTAGGTTTGTTCTGTTCCCCTCCCAACCACTGCCATGACCTTCAGAGGCTTGGCAGCAGTTTGGCTATGGTATGTTTTAAAATTTCACACATCAGGTTATGCAGATTATTATTTCCAGCCTTTGTCTCACTCTCCCATCCTGGACATCTGACACACCGATGGCCCAAAGTAACAAAAATATAAACTTAATAAAGTAAAATGCTGTTTGTGTTGCTATACTTTACACATATGTTTATTGTCACACGTCAGCAGTCTGTGAGGTGTAAGGAATGCAGAGAAGTCCTACCTGATAATGACACACTGGTTCTCACGGTCAATCATCATGTTTCTGTACATGTTATCTGCCAGAGCGTAGATGTGAGGAGGGTTCTCATACTGAGCCTGGGAGGTGACAAAAGAATTTAATTCAAATCAATGATAAAACATCTTTTGTTAACCTTTGTGGTACTAAAGCCAGAAACACTCTGAAGAATATATCTGCTGATATTTTATATTTTTCTTTTTGTCAGCAAATCTCATGAAAAGACCAAAACTAATAATAAATGGATTCTGTTATTGTCTGTTTAGCCATAGCTTATTCTCTGTATTACAGAGATTCATTGTTGTCCAAAACCTATTACCTAACACATCAGTTAGTTACATTTTCGCACTGGGTGACACAGACAATGGCACTGCAGTTTATTTTGACTACCAGCATACAGCGTCCTGCTGCTGTAAATAGAGGACCTGCTGTGCACTAAGCCACTGAAAACAGTCCTAATAAAGCCACTGTTTATTACGTCTGAGTAGCTTTTGCAAAAAAAAACAACAGTATTTTATATACTGTATATAGTGCTTTTCGCACGATGATGTTTTTTTGTGAAAGCATGTTGTTTTGTACAAAGGACATGTTTCCTAATGCAAAATCTGTTGCCCTCCAATTAAAGCAAACAAGTTGGCACCTTAATCATTTTTTCAAATCATTCTGACTGAGCATATCTGAACACCACTCACCTACCTGTACGTACAACTATAATCTGGTTGTCTGTTAAACTTGGCATTGCACTGCTGAGTGTTCTCACAGTCAGTTTGGATTTCAAAAGTCATAAAGTGTGTTCCTGATTTACGGAGACAAGCCCTCTCTCAGCAGACTGGCTAAGAGAAGAGGCGGATTCAAGCAGGCTGATGTGTGAAGGTACTGCCAAACCTCTCTGACAACATTCATGCCAGCCTGCTGGAAGGTTTGTACTGTGTCTAACCCAATTCATTTAAAAGCTTTTGTCAGTCAGTTTTTTAGCATCTTAAAACCCCAGGCATGCCAATAGCATGTCAGTAAATGTAAAATGTGTTTATAAATCACATAATATCACATGTCCTTTAAGAAAAGATGGAATTCTACTTACTGCGCCCTGATACATCTCGATTTCCTTTTCCCCAAAGTACGGCATCTGCTTAAAAGGGTTGATGGAGATGAGCACAGGACCAATGTATGTCTGATTGTGTCAAGGATCATACAAGGAAGACATGCAAGTCAGCAAAAAACAAACACAAACTTATTATCACCTTTTATTTTGTAAGTGTAAAAGTTGATACAAGTGTTTAATTGCAACAGTTGCAAAACATTATTATTAAATGTTTACATGATTAGATTGTCTAGGAGAGAAATGACTTCATCTTAGGCTGCTATGACATCAGCAGAGTGTGTACAGTGCAGCAGTGAAGCATTCAGTGAGCATAAATACGTATCAAGTACTTACAAATGACAGGGAATAGATCGGCCATGTAACACTGTGAGGTTTCATGCCATGAAGCCAAAACGCTGCTCAAGACAAATAAAGCTGCTACTGTGGGTGGCCTAGAGTGACCCACAGGCTTGGCAGAGAGACCTCATGGTTACGGCTATTTCTTGACCCAAATCAAAAGCCTGACTCAGAGTTGTTGAACCAAAAACTGCCAGCATTTACAAAACTTCATGATCCTGACCACTGCCACGGCGAGCGTGGATGAAGTTTATGTAATAAGCTGTTTTGAAAATGCCTGGCATTGCTTTTCAAAAGGGTTATTCATTCATCATAATAAATAAAATAAATGGCAGCGCCCTAATTCAAAAAACACGGCAGAGTTCTCCAGTTTGTCTGCTGCTGTTAGTCACGCATTTTGTTCACAATTTGAACCACAGTGAGATCAGATGAGTAAATATGGAGGAGGTCTGGGTGGAGGTACGTACAGAGAGGCCCTTTGCTCCCTGCTCACAGCAGTGTTTCAGGAGGAAGACATCACCTTCCAACATGACCTATTACTCACTGCTACTATGATACCATTCAGCTATTCTAGGAAAAGTAGTGATGAGACAGGACTAAACTATTCCACACTGGCGTGTGAGCAAAGGATACAAAGATGTAGTCATCCATGTATCTCTTCTTGAGGTTGTCCACGATGGCGTCCTCATTGATCTTGCTGAGCAGCACCATGTCATCCACCCCGCTGTGTTTGACATTGTGACTCTGCCAGTGGTACCGGTAGTGCCCCCGGCTCCCCTGCAGCAAAACAATGTACAATTGTTAGCTTACTCAGAAAGACACAATGAGATGCAGCGGACGAATTGAAAGTCTGACATCGCATAGACACTACATGAATGAATTGTGGCTTCAAAGAAAACTCTGTGGGGTCAACAGACTCTTGAGATAATTGGACAAAATAAAATCCAAGAGGAAAATGGTTAATACTACAACACTTCAGCAAAAAGCTCAGCGAGCGTTCATTTTTGGAGCACAGCAGCAGGCTG